CTTTGTCATTATGGGGTACTGAATGTAGATTAATGAGAAAAAAATGAATTTGAACGATTGCAGTATCAGGCTGCAACAACGAAATTGAAAAAAGTGAAGGGGGTCTGAATACTTTCAGAATGCACTGTACACTTTCATGAAGATTTTTTCCTCTTCAGCTGTTCATGTTATGTTGAATCTATGCTGGCATTTTCATGTGTCCTGTTGTTCATTGTGTACAGCTCCAAGGACACCCACATAATGTCAACATACAATCAGCCCCAGATTTAGCACATAAACTGAAGAGTTCTAAGCAAGATCCCCTTGAAACCTCTTCAGTACCAGTTTGGAAATCCTTCCAATATGTTTACCAATGAACAGCAGTGGGAACATGAGTAGCAAGTTGTTCAGTGCTGAGGAGCATAAATTATGCTACTGCTGTTGCCGTAGCTCCCATTTTTGCTTTCCCAGAATGCCTCCAGGGCAGGGTAGAATGTCGTTTTTCAGGCCAAGAGATGCAAGTGGCCTTTGACTAACACACTGAGGCAGCACTCCAGATAGTAAACCAAGACAAAACTCGGGCCAGGATAAAAGCTCAATTTGATTTAATTTAATGTGCATTTTAATTAAACAACATTAAGTAAACACAGTTAATATGATTGCTCCACATGGGTTTTAATAAATTCCCCCTTCTTTCACATTCAGAGCTACAGTTTGGTGGCAACTTTTAGAGGGGCTTGGATGGGGCAGCTCTCTGGCTCTGAGTAGCCCCAGGGAGCAATGCGTTACATTCTTCTGCTCTAAGCTGTACGTAGAGGCATCCAACCCCTTGGTCCTGGGCTATTCTTTGGGGGGAGAATGCCATTCATTAAATTAATAAATGAATAGTAAAGCAGCAATAGAAAGATGTTGGTTTCAGTTTTGGCCTTTGCCTTACTGTGCCAGATGTGGATACTGAGTCTAGCTACATCAGAAGGAATGGTTCAAACAGGCATATGCTTGACAGTTAGTCTTTCTCATTTAGTCTGGATGCTGTTTATCCTGGGTTAATTAGAAATTAAATGAAGATGGCAAAAATTAAGTGAAAATGTGGAGGAAGCTACCCTTGTCAGTTCCCAGACATAATTGGAATAAATGCATCCATTGCTATTATAATTAAAGTAATATGTTTGTATTTTTCAGCTTTTTTAAAAAAAATCACGCTGAGCTGGCGTGACTTCAGGAGTGTCAGCATGAATCAGAAAATTAACAGAAGGACTCATCCTTCAAGACAACTCTGATTCTGTCTTGCATAATTGTGTTTTTATTGCAAATCATGTCTATGTAAATGAATATGCCACAACTTTAATTGGAGGCCAATTTTCTTTTAGTTCTGTCAGTGAGAACATTTTCTCTTTCAGTGTTTTCCTCTACTCCTCCCTCCCCAACTTCTTACTTGCAGAGCTGTATGTACTTAACACAATAAATCAGTTCACTTATTGTGCCAGTAATAACAACAGCAACCTTGGGAAAATAATGACAAAGTTTAAGGGGAAAAAAGGCTTAGGAATATGTGCCCACAGCACCATTAAAACACACAGGACATAGGCAAGTGAAATATACAAGAGCCTGACTAACTCCTTAAAATTCTGGCCTTATTCAAAAAGCTTTGCTAAATTCTTCTACGCTTTAAATATCTAAAGCTATATATATTCTCAAAAAATTGAAATTAGCCTTTAATATGCTAATGAGAACATCAGGGCTCAGATTCTTTTCATAGAAGAAAATGATATTTGCAGTATTTCCTCATCATATAATTTCAGAGTAAATATGTGCTTAAAAAAGAAAAAGTGGGATCATGATAGTATTGTCTTTGAAGATGACAGGCGGTCACCTATATACATAAATAATGCATGATTTATATAAAATATAAAATGCCTTAAAGTGATATAATAACATAAATACAATCTTCTTTTACAGTTTATATAATTTGGTAATATAAATAGTTGTTTGGGGTATTTTTTTCATTAAAGCATCAAAAATGGCACTGATTTTCATACAAAGGGCAGATTTTGTATTTAATTATCCACACAATATTAATTTATGAGTCCATTTCCTCTTGTGATATAGTTTAAGCAATGCTATCAGCTATAATTATATAAGTCTTCTGTCTACAAAATTTGAAGTGCAGTTTATTTCAGATAACCCTTTCAGGAAATCTGAGATGTGAAGCAGGTGAACAGTATGTTAAGTGAACTGGATGCCTGTTAAATTGGATGTAACTGGCAATTGTGTCCTTGTGGTTTATGGGAGTATTTTACAATTCTTTGTGGTTAATCCAGAATAAGGACATTTCTGATTCTTAGTGCTAATGCTTTTAATCAATTGAATGTGAGCAGAGTGATTAATTATTAGCCTGGTACAATGTGATAAGAGACTGATTTCTGGACTCAGATGCTATTTGCACTGCGTCAGTAAAATGGTGGACTTAACTGAGAGTATGTGCAACTTAAATTGTATTAGGATGTGTATAAATGAAAGGTTTCCAGAGAGAATATGGACTGGTTTGTAAGCATACTACTGTTTCACTTACTGCAGCTTTTCTTGTATGGCCCATTAAATAATTTCTCATTAACACTTTATATTAATAATAAAGATATTTGGGGATCAGGGAGTGCTACCTATATAAAACTTGATGGCATTAATTCATTTCATGCCAGATAGCCATCAGCTGTGTGAGCACTCCCGCATGGGTTCTTTGTTCCATTCTTGAATCAGTTCCATGTTAGTGTGTTCTCATACCATCATCTGGACAGCTAAACTGATTTATTTCTGACTCAGCTTTGATGTACCCAAGAGCAAATCTGCACAGCTTTCCAGAAGACATTACTTGCATGGTTTTGCCTGTATCCCATTGTCCACCTGCAGCTGAGACAGCCAGAGGAGAGCTTGAAGTGCTTCATTCTGGAACTGGTGTTTTCCCCTTACCCTGCTCTAGACATTGTATGCAGACGATGTAGGACATACTAATGCTTGTATTCCATGTAAACAAACTTGTGGTTCCAACAGCTTCTGCTGGTTTCTTTTGGACCCACCTCCTTTCACCCAGTCCCTGACCTATTCTTTTCCCTCTCAACTCTCTTTGGCTGTGAGAGAGACTAGAATCCCAGTTTTCAGTCATTAAAAAAACAAAAAAATTGAGATGAACAGCCAATGAACTGGTTGGCCTAAAGAGTACAAGCCCTGGATGAATGCATGTAATTGGAATTTTAATTCTTGGAATGCTGTTATTTACCAAAAAACAAAAACAAAAAACCTTGTCCTCCTAAGCCACAATTCTGTACATCATTGGGAGTAAATGTTCTTGAAATCAGCATGACATACTAGCAAGAAAATCTACATAAGACAGGCTGCATAGCTAGCTACCAAAAGCATTTGGTTCAGTTTTCGTTTTGGGCATACTTTATTTAGATCTGGGATGGGCAGCCTTTTGTCTGTTGCAAGAAAAGAATAGTGGCTCATTGTTGATTAAGAGTTTTATGAGGCGGTAGAATGTGCTAATCAGAAATAGCATTTGCCTTATGGCATGAAATGAAGTATCACTCCAACAGACATTTTCAAAAGAACTTTATCTTGTTTCTCTCTATAAGATAAAGCCATATATTTCTATTTTCAAATGCCTTGAAATGGCATTTCAAACGTTTTCATCACTACAAATTCCTTTATGGCACTGTTGCTGGAAAGATCTTTTGTGTTTTGTTTAACTGTATTATAATATTTAGATACATATTGCTCCTACTTTTCTACCAACTTTATTTTCCAAGGGGAGTTGTTTTCAGATTTTAAAAATTTTACACATGCATAATTACAGCATATTTAGAAACGGAGCAAGGAATCAGTTTGGGTCTCAATACATCTATCATTCTTGGAATTAGCTATACAGAGAAATTATGCTGTAAAGTGGGGAATAATACATGGTATTATTCATTCCTTCATAGAATGTTTGCATTGTATTTCTATGTGGCATTGTTTGGATCAACTGCTGATTTGAATTACATAGGAGATATGCAGTATTCTGTGTTTCCTAATATTTGAAAATAAATCTATTGTGGAGAGTTCCCAGGGGAAATAATATTATTCATGAACATATTGCCTTGCTTCTAAATCAAATGTGGGTGCCTGTTTTTAACTGCTACATTGTCTAACCAATAAAAGGCCTGTCAGTTTGTTATAATTCCTTCTGCTTTCCTGCTTCCAGCTATCACTTGTCGCAAACAAGATGGCAGCCAAGCTGATATTGGAGAATGCCTGAAATATGCAGGGCCTTTACCACCCTTAACCCAACTCTGCCAAATTCCTTGCCAAGATGACTGTCTGTTCACAAGCTGGTCAAAATTTTCTTCCTGCAATGTGGACTGTGGATCGGTTAGAACAAGGAAGCGTTTACTTATTGGTAAGAGTTAAAGCAAATATCTGCACCTGCACTGTTGGTAGTAGTGTTGGTGGTACTAGTAATGATAATTGTAATCACTGAGAAATAAACTGTATTTAACATAGATCAATTAAAAAGAGTAGGGCTTAGATTCAATGATGTCCATAGCGATGCATGTAAAAAGCCACCATGACAGCCACAAACATGCAATCAGAGCCCTGCCTCTTTTTACATACATTGCATCACATGTAAAAGGTGGAGCTTTGAATGCATAGTTGTGGTTCCCATCTTGACTTTTTTAAAAAAAACCCTCCCCCGTAGACATCTCTTCTTAAGACATGTTTACTTTAATTAGACATCTCTTCTTAAGACATGTTTACTTTAATTATGACTAACTATTGAATCAACCATGAATAGTGAGAGATTTGTGAAATTGTAAAAATGCTCATGCAGAAATTGAATTCAGTAGGGTTGAATCACAGGTAAGTTGATATGGAATGTTGCTATTTCAACTAGTTGAATAACATCAAAGAGCAAGTGTTGCTAGAAAGCAGGGATGCCAAAAGAGCTTTTATTTCATGAAAGGTGGATTAGTTTATATTAGCCAAGATTCTAATTTTGTAAATAATCCACATGGAACAGTCTGTAGACATTTATTTAAGAAATATACAGTACATGTATTTCAGATTTAATGTATTACATTAATAATGTGTATGTTCCTGAAAACCTAATGCCTCATTTGACAATGGGCATCAATAAATTTGCATTTAGCCTCTATTTTATTATTTCTTTTAATCCCAAAATTTATGGATAATTTTTCTGGATCTTGTTTTTGTGTCACAGTCATGACACAACTAGGAAGACTTGCAAATAATGAAAAAGGTGTTAAGATTACCCATTACCAATAGTAATACTTTAGTTATCACCAATCCTACCAAACAATTATATTTCTTCTACCACCTACATGCGCATGGTAGTTAAAAATAATCCTTGCAATAGAAAGGGATGGTCATGTGTATGACAATGGATTCCAATCTTATTTTTCATGACAGTGGTTTTATGGAACTTCTGTGTGAAACTTCAGAACTGCAGTTTCAGATTCACTAAGATGTAGTATGCATTCTTAATAGAAGGAGGATTATGAAAAGAAAGTTAAATATTTTGGGCTGTAATCCTATGCATAACCAGATTCAGTCTAGGTCAGTGAGATTTTGATAGCCTGTGCAGTTTTGCTGAACAAACAAACAACTTTCAAGTCTTAACATCAAGTAAGAAAATGAATGTAATGGAAATAGTGACAATCTAATAATTGGCATAGCATAGACATGCCTATGTATATCAGCCATGGACTGATAGCTTGAATAAATTTAATTTAGGAAGATTGTACATATAATCCAAATTGCAAAGATAAAGCAATGAAAAAAATATTTCTGGTATAGAACTTGGCATTACTCAGCAATGTGTTTATATCCATCCAAACAGAGGCTGGCCAGTTGGTAGCTCAGGATCTCTTCTGTGAGGTATGGGGATTATTTGGGTACATTTGAGAGAACTCTCAAGTTTAATCAAAGCTGAGATTACCAATGCTATATTGACTCATCCTCTTGCATGTTAGCAAACATTATAATGCTGCCTTTCCAAGTTGCTGCATCATATAACATCACATGAAATTAGTATGTTCAAAAATACTGCACCATCTATTTATGCCACAGTGGAAACAGCAATGAAGCGAGAAATGGTTTCAGATTCAGATTTAGAAGATAAAAATTTCACATAAATATTCATTTTAAAGATAGCTTTTTGCCAAGACTGCTGCAAAAATTATGAAAACCAATACTAGTAAGCCAGAGAACAACAAACTGGCAACTGTGTTATACTTATGTGAGCACTGACACACAAGCATATGATCATGGAATTGCAGATGAAGTTGGAATGCTGGATATCCAATTAAGGCTAAAGGAAATGTACAGGCAACAAAATGTGACTTTCATAGGAAATTCAAGTTGATCACATTAGTCCATGAGTGGATGGAAGGAACATTACTAAGAAACACCTTTTCCTTGGGACCATCAATTTTTCCTCACTAATGATGCTATTGGTTATTCCCCATTCTTGAGAGATGCTTAGAAAGGGCCTCAAATAATTATTCTAAATTTCAGATAAGTGCATCAGAACTAATACTAAAATTTAATATAGGTACTTTATAGTTCCCCTTCATGGATCACTGCCTTGTCGTGGCGAAGGGGCTTGCATAACTCAGTGAAGCCA